GGGGGGGGGGGGCGGGGGGTGGGTGGCTCAAGCCGTGCCAGGTGCAGGGTCTGCTGGCTGGGTGCTCGCAGGCTTGCACCTGGCTCGGGCACCGTAGCCAGGCCGTGCCCCTTTAAGGGGTCCGAGGCCGGGAGGGGGGCAAATGAGTTTCCCTGGTGTTGACCAGCGTGGCCACCAGGGAAACCTGGGGAGGGCTAGCCTCCCACTAGTTCGAATTAAGGGTCTACACAGCCCTTAATTCGAACTAGTAAGTTCGAACTAGGCTTAATCCTCGTGGAATGAGGATTACCTAGTTCGAACTAAGCGCTCCGTTAGTTCGAATTAAATTTGAACTAACGGAGCGCTAGTGTAGCGCCTATGAAAGTTAGTTCGAACTAACGTCCGTTAGTTCGAACTAACTTTGTAGTGTAGACATACCCTGAGTCACTCACTAGTTAATGAATTCTCAGCCCACAGACCTTCCTGAGAGAGAAAGACATGCTAAGTAGACAGAAAAATAGAGTAGAACATGACTTCTTCCATCTCCATGCCTCAGAAGCCTAAGTCCATCACATCTGCCTCAATTACTGACATTCTCACATGTTTACTTGTTGAATATTAATCAGCCACCAGACGTCACTGTGTGTTATAGAGCAATGGTTTTCAACCTCTGGCTTGCTAAGATTCCCCAAGGGGTCCGTTTCTCCGTTCAACATTTTTTGGGGATTCACAGTAGAAAAAAGGCTGAAAACCACTGCTATATAGAAACCAGACAGGGTGAACAAGTCAGAAACAGCTGAAACTCCAGCTGTGAGGACGTTGCAGCTGCTTTGTTTATTAAACCCTTCCATTTTAACAGGGACTGATTCCATGTAGCATATAACAAAACGAATGAGACTTTGATGAGAAAGTCAACATTAACAATCTAGTAGTCTAGCCATGGAAAAAAGTGTTGTTCTGAATGGAACCCTCACATCAATGATCAAAAGATCCAGTCAAAAAACAAACAAGCAAACAAAATCCAATCAACTAGCACAGTAAAATACATGCAATGTTAACTATGAATAACCAAATGGCTTAAACAAAAATGTTAGTAAAGAACAACAGAATGAAAGGTTCTCCTGTGGGAGCAAAACTATTTAAAAACCAGGTAGAACCTGAGAATGTGAAGGTGGGAGACGTAGATCTTGCTACATTGCTAGGAGATCTCTTGTCAGGTACATTAACACTGATTCCAGAACTCCACTATGATGGCTAGCTGATGTAGACAACACATCCCTCCACACTACTGCTGTGCTGAGAACAACTTTATTACTGCACTGGCATTCAGGAAATTACACACACAAGAGCAAGTGGTGACTTTAAGCAGATGCAAGAGAGGGCAGCATAAATATGAAAGTATTATCCTACAGAACCATTACATGTCCCAATCTATTCTTGTGTTTGATGAACCCTCTGAAAAATCTGTACTTTGATGTGTTCCCACCCCACTGTGTGCAATTTGTTGCAATGTCTTAAAGAAGATGGGCTTGTGTCATGTTTCAAGGAGAATACTGTATTGAAACTGTGATAAGTATTATTTTCATTTCTCTGGGACTAGCAATATAGTATATTCTTAAAATAGACCTGAATGCTGAATTCCAGGGCAGTAAGACTATCTATGCAATCCACATATCAACATTTCCCATGCGACAAGTGACTTCACCACAGTTTATGTTATAATTAAAACCAAAGTGCTGAATCACTACTAATCCTGCCATGTCTCTAAAGAGTTACCGAGTGAGACCAAGCGATGGTCTCTTACCTGAGTTTTGTGGGTGTTCACCAGAGAGGGTGCCGCAGCGACCATGGAACTGCTGCGGGGCCTTGGCAGGTGCATGGTTTCCGGCTCAGGTGGCTTCTCTGGCTTCTCCTCCAGCATATGCCTCAGCCTTTGCAGATAATACATCAGAGACCACTGTGTGCCTTCCTCAGACCAGTGTGGCTGCAGCAGGCAGCGTAGTACTGCCACATCAAAATAGGTGGCATAGCGAGACTTTTGGCAAGGCGGGATTACCAATGAGACCCTGTTCCAAATAATGAATGAAGCAACATTAGAAATTAGTGATGGCTATTAACTTCCCTAGAGGTACAGAGTTCTGCCTAAGGGTTCCCTCCAGAAAGACTCATAGAGCTGGTCTATACTGCACTAAAAAATCCCAGGGAACAGAGGCGCAGGGCCTGGGTCAGCTGACTCAGGTTTATGAGACTAAAAACTGCAAAACAGCTGTTCAGCTTGCGCTGGAGCCTTGCCCACTTGCCAGGATTCAGAGGCCGGGCTCCATCCCAAGGCCAAATGTCAACACTGCCCCAGATCCCAAACCTGCAAGCTGGCCGTGGGCCCTTTTATTGCAGCCACCCTTAGGGGTTGCCTTTTCATCATTCACTCTACTGCTCCATACGATTAGCTTCCCTCTTGTAGATGGAAACCATCACTGTCTTACCCTTCAGTTTGGCAAACTGAAGTCACTCCAGAGCCCAGCACTAATAATGAGCCATTTGCCAGCCACTAAGAAATAGTTACAGACTGAAAAAGGGAGAGACGTTGTCACTCTCTCTCTACAGTGGGCTTAAAATCCCAGCTCATTAAAGAGAGAGTATTAAAGCCCCTTCCAGTCTCCTCAGACCTGCAGAACTCTAAGCTACGTTCCAGTTACCAGGATGCTTAATTGATACTGTTGGCTAACAGAGAGATTTGAATACAGGACTAAGACACTGGTTCAGGAAAGCATCCTTGCTTTTGAAAGCACTTAAATATGTGCTTAACTTGAAGTCTCCAGTGAAACTCAAGCACATGTTTAGTTAAGCATGTGCTTAGATGCCACCTTGCACAGGGATGCAATCCTAAATCAATGCTGAAAAAGCACAAGCCTAGACCACTGCAATAAATGACTAATTCCTCCAGCAGGATGCAGTAGCAGATTCAAACCTCTGCTGGCCAGGATCTGGTGGGAGCAGTGGGGGGGCGGGGGAGGGGGAGAAGGGGGTGTTACACAGTCAGCTGTTACTAAAAGAAATGTCAGCATGATGAGAATTCCCAGTAAAATAATCACTTATACTAATTTAAGTGGATCTGGTGGTTCTCAAGTGAGGAAGTGCTACTGCTACATAAGATGACCTCCATTTTTGCCCCGGGCTACTAGAAAACATGACGCATTTCATCTTCCTTACAAGTTTTTAGTGTGAAACTTCCCTGGTGTTTTAGTTTCCAAACTTGAACGTCATGCACAGAGAGACAAGAATGAACTATTGAGTCGGAAAGGACATGTCCTGATTCTTCTACTAAGCTGAGATTATCCTTACAGCCATGACAGCATGCCAACGGAGCCCAGGCAAAATGGTTCTTTCACTAAGAATGGGAAACATGGAATGTTTTCTGCAACAAAATTATCCGACACACCCCAGCTCAGTACCTTCCGCAGATTAAACATTCTAAAAAATGTTAAGTGAATGCACTAAGTGCATGTGAACCGTGAATTCTCACTCCTGCACATGTAAGCTTCATTTTGAATAAAACCATCAAAAAATACTAAAAAGGCTAAGCCCCAAACCACCTTTCACTGATAAGCTGCAAACTTTGTGTGGCCCCAAAGGAACTTTTTGCCCATGATGCAATAGCACTTGCTGGCAAGATTCTATGTTGCTGAGATCCACCGGGTCCATGTTAAAGCATAGGCACCCCAGGCCTGTGCTTAGTGCCCCAGCATCTGGAGGAGGCATTCAAATCAGAATCTCAGTTTTCATTAGAAAAAATTCTAAGCCCTCAGAGTTGCAAAGGAAAGTTTGGAAATTTGATCTGATTGTAACTGATACAGTGACGTCTGCAGACAGCAGAAAACAACTGCTCTGAGACGGGGTGGACACGGCCCCAGCAGAGCACTCTAGATAGCAAGGAGAGAAAAGCGAGGAAACCTGGCCCACACACCTATACACAAACCCAGGCCTGGAGTACGTAGTGGGAGACTGCTTTGCTGCCATCCCGGCCCTCTAGGTGGGAAGGGGGTTCCCCTGCCATCACCAATCTAAGTAGCAGATGGAGCCACAGTGAGAAGGCAAGGTCAGGGTCATAAGGTGGGAGCCCCATGCTATGATGGGGCTTGATCTCCACATTGCCTTGATGGGACACCAAATCATAGAACACCAAAGCAAACATGATTCTGGGCTGCATTAACAGGTGTGTTGTGAGCAAGAGAAGTCATTCTTCCACTCTACTTTGCGCTGATTAGGCCTCAGCTGGAGTACTGTGTCCAGTTCTGGGCACCACATTCCAAGAAAGATGTGGAGAAATTGGAAAAGGTCCAGAGAAGAGCCACACGAATGACTGAAGGTCTAGAGAACATGACCTATGAGGGAAGACTGAAAGAATTGGGCTTGTTTAGTTTGGGAAGGAGAAGACTGAGATGAGACATGATAGTAGTTTTCAGGTATCTAAAAGGGTGTCACAAGGAGGAGGGAGAAAAATTGTTCTTCTTGGCCTCTGAGGATAAGACAAGAAGCAATGGGCTTAAACTGCAGCAAGGGAGGTTTAGGTTGGACATCAGAAAAAACTCCTGTCCGGGTGATTAAACACTGGAATAAATTGCCTAGGGGGGTTGTGGAATCTCCATCTCTGGAGATATTTAAGAGCAGGTTGGACAGACCTATCAGGGATGGTCTAGGCGGTGCTTGGTCCTGCCGTGAGGGCAGGGGACCTCAATGACCTCTCAAGGTCCTTTCCAGTTCTAGTGTACTATGATTCTATCTGTTCAGTCTTATAATCAAAAAGATTTCTGGATGCCGTTCTTGAAACAGAAGTGTGTAACCTGAGCACTTGTTACCCTTTTTTAATTGTCTGTAAGACACAAGAGTAGCTAGTCAGTAACTGCTTCATGAATAGTGTTCTTGTGCATTTGGGACAAATCCCAACAGCTAACAATATTTACCAAATTAATATTGACAAGGCGACAGAGCACAGTGGACGGCAAGCTTTGAAAGGCAGGCACCCTGGCTGAATATCCATATCTGTATGTTGGACACCCAGCCTGGAACTGACCAGCCTAACGCCACAATCCAGCAAACCATAAGAACATAAGTAGTTCCACAGTCTTCAGTGGGTCTGTGCTAGTAGTTAAAGTTACATATACATTTCAGCGCATTGCTGGAATACAGCTTAACAGGATACAAGACATTCAACAGGGTTAGGCTGCTGGTGTGCTGAGACCACTGCTACAAGGATGACCAATATTGTCTCATTGTTTCCTGGTACTTCCCATCCAATCTATCTGTATCCATTTATTATCTCTTGTCTAACAATAGAGGTTGTCTACATGAAGAATTAGTTCACTCCAAGCTGGGGTGTGAATCTACCCCACACTAGCCTGCTGCAGACAAGCTGCCCATGGGGACCATACTGATGCACTTTAACAGTGTGTTTATGTGCTTTGCTCTGGTCAGGGGTAGAACTGTTAATGTGTGTCAGCAAGGGCCGTGTGGACAGTCAGTCTGCAGCAGGCTAATGCAAGATAGATTCAAAGCCCACCTCGCAGTGAACTAAGCCCTTAGACTGTAAAGTGTCTGGGGGGCAGGGACTGTGGTTTGTTCTGTTTGTACAGCACCTAGCACAACATGGTCCTAGTCCAAGGGCTTCAGTCCCCACTAATGCAGGTTTCCCACTGCACCTAGTCCTTTGAAATGTACAAGGGCCACTGGGATTGCCAGGCAGGCTGCCGTCCCAGGCTGCTCAAAGTGGCTGTCTGCTCCATGTGCCTCTCTGCACTGTGCGACGGGGTGAGTGGGAGATTTTGCAGGCTGCCCCTGCCTCCGGTCCAATCATTGCAGCTCCCACAAGCTGGAAAACTGGGCACTGGGATGACTGGACTAGGGGCAGCGCACAGAGTCTTCCCCACTATCTGCAGCACACGGTACAGAGAGGCAAATGGCACCAGCAGCCAACCGCTTTGAGCATCTGGGGCAGGCAGGGAGCCTGTCTGACGGTCCTGCTGGCCAGGAGAGGCCTAGGTAAGCACCTTCTGGCCAGAGCCATGCAGTGCCCCACCCCTTCCCACACCCCTCAAACCCTCTGCAATCCCACCTGCCCCATGTCACAACTCCCTCCCAGGCCCTGCAACACTCCTCCAGGTCAGAATCCTCTCCTGCACCCATACCCTCGCCCCAGTCCTGGGCCTCTCCTGCACACTGACCCCCTGCCACAGGTCACCACCCAAACCCTCTGCACCTCCCCTGCCCACATGCCCCAGGTCACATCTTCCTCCCAGATCCAGCAATCCCTCCTACACCCCTCCGCCAAGATCAGGATCCTCCCATGCACCCATACTCCCTCCCAGAGCCTGCATCCCAAGCCCCTGTCCCAGGTCACAACCCCTCCTTTACCTAAACTTCCTCCCCAAGCTTCATTACACCCCAATCCCGTACCCCAAGCTCCCTTCTGCATCCAACTTCCATCACAGATTCCACAGAAAAGTGCCCCCCATCAAAAAATATATCAAAAATTATTGCCCACCCCATCTTAGTCTATGACTGGGGCACTGAGGCACTATGGTAAGATAAATAATAATAATAAACATAATATAAGCCATGTGAGCATTCTAAGGCAGGTATATCCAGTTAAGAAGACTTGAGCAAAAGGTTTGCAACGCTGACCCAGCCTGCAATCAGGGTAGAATGGCAGTTTCTTCCTGGAATACATTTGTTGGGAAGGAGTCATCTCAGAGAAATGTGTTCATTCACAACGTAAATGCCCAAGCAAATCCACAAGAGATGGTTTGCTGCCAGCCTCTGTCAATGCAGGACACCACAGAGGCCATGTCTATACTGGCAGACGAAAAGCACTGGCAGGAATATTTGTCCAATACCAGAGGCACAAACTTGAGGTTTGCTGAATGAGTTTCCACAAAAACAGAATTTAAAATCTTGTGCTTTGCTTTGAATTAAACCCCATATACATTTAAGTAGGTTCTTGTTGCCTGATAATTGCAGGGTGAGTGGGTGACATATTTAGTTCAGTCGTGGGCCCAAGGACAAAGGAATACGGTGACTGTTGATAACGGGAGTAAATAACATTTGTTTCTGAGTTGTCTGTTGCTTGGCAACCAAAGCTCCCCGTTCAGTTTTAATTGATCAATGAGTTCACCAAATAAGGAGATATTAATGAAGCTCTCTACAAAGCCTGTCAGAAGCTTCATCTCCTTAGCAACCACCCAAATGAGCTGGATGCACTGGTCACCTGATTCAGTCCTCTAAAAGACTGCCTGCTCCCTTACTTTCTGTGGGTGTGTGGATGCACGCCGAACAATGCCACACATGACAAACAATTTACATTTAGTAAGACAATACAGGCAGTCCCCGGGTTACGTACAAGATAGGGACTGTAGGTTTGTTCTTAAGTTGAATCTGTATGTAAGTCGGAACTGGCATCCAGATTCAGCCGCTGCTGAAACTGATCAGTTTCAACAGCAGCTGAATCTGGACACCAGTTCCGACTTACATACAGATTCAACTTAAGAACCCCAGGCGTCCCCAAGTCAGCTGCTGCTGAAACGGATCAGCAGCTGATTCCAGGAAGCCCGGGGCAGAGCAACTCTG